ACAAGCAACAATGATGATTAAATTAAAAGGTGTTTTATCTCTGACTTTATTCATTTAATTATTTATCATAGTGATGTATTAAATATAAGTTAAAATAAAAGAGAAATTTATATACATAAATAACTATTGAATGATTGATAAAACGTTTGTTAGTATATTTTCGATCACTCCTATACAACTATTGAATAATTGATAAAACATTTGTTAGTATGTTTTGTTCATAGATCTTGTCCTTAATGCTTACTTCGATCGCTCCTACACAAACTATTGAATAGTTGATAAAACGTTCGTTAGTATGTTTTGTTCATAAATCTTGCCCATAATGCTTACTTCGATCACTCCTATACAACTATTGAATAGTTGATAAAACGTTCGTTAGCATGTTTTGTTCATAGATCTTGTCCTTATTGCTTATTTCAACCACTCCTATACAACTATTGAATAATTGATAAAACGTTTGTTAGTATGTTTTTGTTCATAAAACTTGTCCATAATGCTTACTTCGATTACACCTACAAACTATTGAATAATTGATAAAATGTTTGTTAGTATGTTTTTGTTCATAAAACTTGTCCATAATGCTTACTTTGATTACACCTACAAACTATTGAATAATTGATAAAACGTTCGTTAGTATGTTTTGTTCATAGATCTTGTCCTTAATGCTTACTTCGGTCACTCCTATACAACTATTGAATAGTTGATAAAACGTTCGTTAGTATATTTTGTTCATAGATCTTGTCCTTAATGCTTACTTCGATCACTCCTATATAAACTATTGAATAATTGATAAACGTTCGTTAGAATATTTTGCAAACTTCATAGATCTTGTCCTTAATGCTTACTTCGATCACTCCTATATAAACTATTGAATAATTGATAAAACGTTCGTTAGTATGTTTTGTTCATAGCTCTTGTCCATAATGCTTACTTCGATCACTCTATAGAAACTATTGAATAATTGATAAAACGTTCGTTACTATTTTTTGTTCATAGATCTTGTCCATAATGCTTACTTCGATTACACCTACAAACTATTGAATGATTGATAAAACTTTCGTTACTATTTTTTGTTCATAGATCTTGTCCTTAACGTTTACTTCGATTACTCCTATACAGACTATTAAATAAATAATAAAACGTCATTAGAATATTTTTTTATAGATCTTGTCCTTAAAACTTACTTCAATTACACCTACACAAACTATTGAATAATTGATAAAACGTTTGTTAGTATATTTTGTTCATAAATCTTGTCCTTAACGCTTACTTCGATCACTCTATACAAACTATTGAATAATTGATAAAACGTTCGTTGGTATGTTTTGTTCATAGATCTTGTCCTTAATGCTTACTTCGATCACTCCTATAAAACTATTGAATAATTGATAAAACGTTCGTTAGTATATTTTGTTCATAGATCTTGTCCTTAATGCTTGCTTCGATCACTCCTATATAAACTATTGAATAATTGATAAACATTCGTTAGTATATTTTGTTCATAGATCTTGTCCATAATGCTTACTTCGATTACACCTACACAAACTATTGAATAATTGATAAAACGTTCGTTAGTATTTGTTCATAGATCTTGTCTTTAACGCTTACTTCGATCACTCCTATACAAACTGGATCTTAATCTTTATTATCATCCTCAAAAAAGACGATTCGTTGTCGTCGTTTGCATATTATTGTTTAATGTTGCTATAACAACTACTGATTGATGGATATTCATAATAATCATTAATGAAACTTTAATCAATATAAAGTCAGAAATATAA